CACAACAACAACAACAACAACAACAACAACAACAACAACAACCACCACCACCACCACCACCACCACCACCACCAACACCACCACCAACACCACCACCACCGCCACCACCATCATCATCATTATAACGATGATGATGATGCATCGTATATCAGTCGGGAACACAGAGGTCCCTCCCAAAATGAAGCCCCCCGCCTTACGTGTATCAGTCAGCGCTCTATCATACACTAAGTCAACAGCAGATTCAATGTCCGTAACACCTCCCAACCTCTCGAACCTATCCACAAATAAACAGCAATACCACACGCTAACCAACTCACAATGGCTTCGTCTTATCATCAACCACAGTTCTCCTCCTAAGCCCTCCTCGAAGATGTTTCTTATTCTCCTCAGTCTCAGTCAGCTCGTAGACCTACCCTACGAGTAGCTCCCTCACACAGGAGTCCGTCCCCACTTGTGCTTTGTAGTCGGCGATTTCCCTCCTCAACTGCTCCAACCGTCGCCGAGCCACTTCCGCATCAATCCTTCTGAAGTCGCTACTTGACCGATCCCCTGCATAAACTTTCGACTCGAACAGATGGAGCCTCTCACCAGAAGGGGGCAGCGCTAGGGACACCGCTAGTCTTATCTGTCTCAGCCCACCGACCACCGCAGTAATGCCAGTTTTCAAATTCTGTATCTTCTGATGAGTCGTTGCTATCGACTCCGTCATTTTCTCTATATCCCATCCCACATGCAGCTTCTCTCTACCGCCTTCATCAGACTGCATCTCCCAACTGCACTCGACAACCAGTCGGGACACCCCATCACCAACAAGCCATTGACAACACAAAGCACGTCCACATTAGAATAGGTAAACGCCTCTCTATCAGTGAGGCACCTCCCTCGCGTCCATCACATATGTACACTGCCCGTCACTGCTGGTTGCACTGCTCGGCTCCTTGCTCAGATGGAGTTGGAGTACTGTAACTCGACTGAGGAGGCTGCTGAAGTGCACAAATCAGAATAATCTATCATCAGGGCGAGCGCTAACCCAAGCGGCACTCACTTGGGCATTCCACTGTGGTTGCGGTTGTTGTTCCTGCATCCTGAGCTGAGCCTGCTGTTGTTGTTGCTGCTGCAGCCTAGCTCGCTGCTGTTGTAGACGAGCCAACAATGTCGGATCAATCCTGATAACATCACAGTGCCACACCAATAGACCCGTCACCACCTTACTGCTGTTGTTGTTGCTGCTGAGGGAAGGCGCCCGTCTGATGCTGCTGTTGCTGAACAGCCCTCTGCTGTGCCATCGCCGATGCCAACAGCTGTTGTCGTTGCAACTCTTGCTGCTGTTGTAGCTGTTGTTGTTGCTGTTGTTGTTGCTGCTGTTGTTGTTGCTGTTGCTGCTGTTGTCTCTGCGCCTGACACAACCGTGACCACATCCACCTCTCGTTCCTCATACCTGTCGTCTCTGCAACTGCTCCAACAGCGCCCTCATCTGGGGTGTTGGAGTGATCTTCTGCCCGGTCTGCTCCTGACGAGCTTGTGCCTGACTTCCGTGATGCCCTATAGTCACATCACAGA